GCCATATGTCCAAACCCAAAGCTGGTTATCACCGGCGGCACCAGCACCGCCATCTGTGTGTGGGAGACGGGAACCTCAAAGGAGAGGGCAAAGTCACTCACGCTCAAACAGGTAAATGAGCACAAAGAGACGCCGTGCAGGTTCGTGCAGCAGCTGCACTTCAGTCATCAAACTTTAAATTATCCTAAAGCAGAAAACATTTATAGAAACCTGGCAGCACTTTCAACTGTGTGAGGTCCAACCAATCAGAAGGCTAGGTCAAAGCTGAACACGGTGTGCTTCAGAGGAAGGATAGAGGACTGTTTCTCCTGTGACTGCCAAAGTTCATCAGTGACAGCTTAATCCTTACAGGGTTTAATTAGTTTGACCCATGAAATTAGTTTGATGTGTTTCTGCTTCGTTCATTCAGCACAAACGTTAATCTGCAGACTTTAATCTCCCCGCACACGAATGAAACGAGCAAATCCTGCATGTTAAGGTGTTTAAGTTTCTTGATGCCATTGCGTCTCCCGTGTCGTGTGATATCTTAGGCGCTGCTTGGCCACACGGACGCTGTGACGTGTCTGACGGCGTCTTCGGCGTACCACATCGTCGTCAGCGGCTCATGGGATCGAACCTGCATCATCTGGGACCTCAACAAGCTCTCCTTCGTCACACAGCTCAGGGGGCACCGAGCGCCCGTCTCGGCTCTGTGCATCAACGAACTGACGGTAAGTTTGTCCTCCGTCACGCGTGGATCAGAGAGACTGTGGGCGTAGTTCGGCTCGTTTACGACACGACGTGTGTTTGCGTTTGCACAGGGCGACATCGTGTCCTGCGCGGGCACCTACATTCACGTGTGGAGCATCAACGGCAGCCCCATCGCCAGCGCCAACACCTTCACCGGCCGCAGCCAGCAGATCCTCTGCTGCTGCGTGTCGGAGATGAACGAGTGGGACACGCAGAACGTCATTGTCACCGGGCACTCAGATGGCGTTGTGAGGGTGAGCTCGCGTGGATACGCATTCCTCTTTAAGTTTATTAGTCGCTTGTTACAACTTTTTACCAAAACATGTGTTTTCTGTGCTGTCGAGCATTAAAACGACAGAACGTTTGTCATTTTTTTCACTTTTTAACTCTTTATAAAATATTAAATATTGTCTGAGTTATTGTGTAAACACTTGTTTGTTTTTGCAACAATGCCAATAAAGAGCTATTCTATTTTATTCTATTCTATAAAAGTATTCCTTGTGCTAAATCTCACAGTTTTGGAGAATGGAGTTCCTCCAGGTACCAGAAACCCCCGCTCCCGAGCCTGTAGAGCCAGATGTGCCTGACTGCTGTGCTGACGAGAAGATCGGTGAGTCCTAATAGAAATAAACGAGCTCATTGGAGCTGCTAGATCGAGTCATCACAACACAAATCACACAATGCATGTCACTATAAAAAATTGTAGAAAGGTACAAACGTATCTTGGTCTCACAGAGGGCGGTGAGAGTCACAATGGCGACGATGACAGCAGTGAGTCGGACGCAGACGAGCCCAGTCTGAGCCAAGAGCCCAGAGCGCCACGCAACCCCTCGACAGGTGGAGGCAGCCAGCCGGGTAGCACCGTCCACAGACCCAGAGGTACTTAGATATAAGTTTG